GTAGTAGTGGTAGTAGGAGCAGGAGCATCTTGTGGAGGAGGAGTGAGAGCCAGCAGCCACAGCTGTCAGTCACCAAAGGCACCACAAACTTAACCACCAGCACTTATCATCGACCGCCTCCATCACCACCACCACTGGCACCAGCTCCGGCAACACAAGCGCCACGGCAACAAAGACTCAGCAACAACTGCAACTACTGAACACATGTTCATGCCATGCCTGACGTTCAGAGAACCTGAACCCCACGCCTCAGCCGGAATGCGAGCCCCCTGCAGCCCAAGCACCTCAACCTAAACCCTACATTCGTCTCCTTTGCCTTCGAAACCGTCGTTGGCTGCTGTAGGGCTTGAGAAGCTTTTCGTAGAAAGTCTCTGTGGCAATCCCTGTCGCCATGGACTACGAGGCTGTTTCCTGATTGCCGTCTGGGGCTGTAGGATGTGGGAGTGAGGGCTTCAGAGATTCAGAGCCAAGGTTAAGGGTTCAGGGCCGGTTAAGGGTTCAGGGCCGCTTAGGGTTATAATAGGGGCCCAAATAATAACCTATACTGTTTTGGGGTTTCTATGGGTTTCTAATTGTAATTATAGTAGAATCTTAGTAGAATACGCACCAAAACCCTATTCTAAATAATCAGGCCCCTACATCGGAGTGTGGGTTTAGGCTGCGTATAGAGGTCTATAGGATGTTGGATTTCGCACCTATGACTTCGGCTTCAGGATTTACGGCCAGGGATTCGGTATTGGGCCTCTACTTTGTATGTATACCTCAGGAGCACGATTCGTGATGTTTACAGTGTTACAAAGGTAGGTCCCGGATCACCGTGACTATTGCTTTTGGCTCTGCAGTCTTTCGTTTCGCCCATACAGGTTTGCAATTTGTGCTCGGAGCCATGGCAGTAGATAATATAGTGGGGGCCTACACCGGAAGAGTTGAACCGTTTCCTGGTGTAGGACGCGGTCCGAGAATACAACCACATGTCTACATACCACGGTGCAAAGTTCCCGGCCCGTCTAGCACTTGTCGGCGCACCCCTAAACCCTAAACCAAAACAAACCTCAAGTGTTGCTAAGAGTGTGTCCCTGGATCTCACGAAACCAAACACCCTGGGGCTTGGGGCCCACGGCTAGAGGTTGAGGGGTTCGGGGATGTTTAGGGTTTTGTGTTTCAGGGGTTCAGGGATGTTATTTTGGGACACAGAACCCCAAGCTCAGGCTGCTTGTGGGGGGAATGGCAGGCTCTTGATGGCCACAGTGATGCTACCAGGGATATCGGCAGGGCGGCAGCGCAGCTTCACCCTCAGAGACAGGCTTGAGGGTTTAGGCCTCTGCCTCAAGTGAGCTCTTCTAGGAGTTGGAGAGGGTTCAAATTTCGGTCAAAAGCCAGTGCTCATTTTGTCTTGGGCTTCTGTTGATTGCGCGTCTTCATAAGATCATCCAGCCCTGCGCAATTTGCCCAAAATGTCCTCAGCCTCTGTGATCCAGGCCAGGCTTACGCCAAGCCATTCCATAGCTTGCTGTACCTGCCAAGCAATGGCGGCATGCTATTCTCTGCCAGCAGCTCTCGCAGCGGAACCAGGTCCCTTTCGTGCCCGGGTCCGGATCCTTTATCAACATTTGCTTTGTATAGCGAGCGGTCTCGTAAATCTGAGATGCCCGAATTCTAAACACCTGCACATGATGCCAAGGTCAATCACAAGGATGGGCGCCGGGACTTCCGGAGCACAGTGCCAGCCAACACACGATTTCAACCCCACTCTCCTGCCCTCGCAACAGTCACAACATTCCTGCACCGCCTGGCCTCGAGATTCCAGAAGCGGTTGAGGCTGTTGCTGCCAAGCTACGATTTGGCATCGGCAGTTTCGGGCACCCGCACTTTTGCACCAAACCGTGTGTGCACATCTCCAAGAGTGGAGTGTGCCCGTCGGGAACGGCATGTGCTTACTGCCATTTCCAGCACAGTGCGATGCCAAAGCCAGACTCTCGTCTACGCCAGCGTCTGCTCGACGCAAGCGACCAGGAGCTTCTCGCGACCTTCCTGCCCTTCATCTTCAAGAAGGCAGCTATGGAAGGTCTTATTCCGTACGTCGACCACTTGCTCGAGCTCCTCAAAGCAGAAATGCACGAAACCCAATCCAAGCCGATAGCCATGGGTAGGTTTCGGCCGATGAGGATGAATTTCATGTGCCTTGGCTGGGGTTCATTCATAGAGCTATACATTAGTGTGTATTACTCATTTTTTCAGTGACAAGACACGAAGTCACAATTCAGTGGATCATCAGCGCAGCGGCAGTAGACTCAGCCTTGGAGAGCCTGGGAGGACCAATCTCCTAGGTTGTATCAGGGAGACCCCTTAAAGGGGACCCTTCTAAACCCTGTGGCTCTCTTAAAAAAATGGATCTTATATTGAGAGGGTTTATATTCCCAAGATCCCCTAATCCTATCTCCTACCGTCGTCATCTCGAACCAAGGCATCTCGTTGAGAGCTGCATACGCGGGCTACCTCCGCATATCCGAGCCGAAGTAAACCGTATCAAGTCGGAGCTCCCTCCTCCTGCTGTCACGCTTCCAGGTTGCAGTATTCAGAACAGTCTGTGATCGCTTGAAGCTTTCATCCTAGCGCCTGTACAGCAGTCTCTTACGGAGCATCTTTCTGTCACTTCCACATGCTTGCATGATGTCTGTGTCGTGGTATGTTGCTGCACGTCCAGCCCCTCTTCCCTGTTGCTGTTTGCAGAAAGCCGTTTCTGGCCACCTGTAAAGGCAATTAAATTGAATGTGACTGAATCGTCTTGTATTCACTATCACGACGTTCTGCCAAGGCAAGGCGGAACGAGACCATCTCTCATGCTGTAGACGAACTGAGCTCATGCTGTGCCTCGCTGACGGGCGGAAGCAGATCAACACTCTCTCGGTGCTTCTGGCATTATTTCGCTTCCAGGTGAACTCTGGAGGGAACTCTTGGGTTAACATACGGGCCTTGATAATCAGTAAATTAGGGCTCCTTCTTATGATTATAACTATGCGATAAAGGAGCCCAAAACGGCAGAGCCTTAACAGGTTTCAGTTTTGTTGTAGAAGCCTGTATCATTAATGCCGCTAAAGCGACAGGCTTGGTAGCTTGATGAAACACAAAGCCAGGCTTTCCTGCTGTTTGCTCCCTGCCTATCTCGCCCAGTAGGAATATGGGGCTTTGCAACCTGGGACCCGACCGCTGACATGCTCGTTAATCGTCTGGGTTCTTGTTAAGGGATTTAATTTAAGTTACCATAGTAAGGAAACCATATTATTTACTCTAGATCCTTATTATGGTAACCTAAATTAAATCCCTTAACAAGAACCCAGTCGTGTGAGGGAAGCCGATGTGGATAAGCGACCGTATCGAGGATTTATACCAGTTCTTGGTAGAGCTGTGCCCCTGATGCGGATCATTTATCTATCCATTGGAGCTTCAAACAAGATTTTGCGAGCCTCATGCAGGCAGTTACCTAAGTAGCAGGATGCTAGCAATATAAAGTGTAACATGCCCGAAGGGCTGGGAAGTTCAGATGCCAGAAGTGCTGCGAGTGGTTCTTTCTTTCTCCGGAACGTCTTCGGGCGCCACGCGGCGCCAGGTGTGAAAGCCTGTACCACACCAACTGCAGGCATAGCACGCCTCTCTGTGCTCGGTGCAACGTTGTGTTTCCAGTTACCGTAGAATTTTAGCGATAATGACATTGCCTACAACTAAATCATGTGGCCGGCATGATTTGCAAAATCACGGCCAGCGACAATGCTGGCACCTTCAAGAGTTCACTGTAGAATCCGAGCCGCAGAGAGCGAAGTTCTGTGGCATGCCGCGTCAAAGCGCCGAGTTTGTAGAACGTGGTGACAGTTGCCGTCGCCGAAATACTTTCGTATGATTTGCCAACTACAGAACCCGAACCGCAGAGAGCATTGTCTGTTATGACGCGATCTGCGGCCGTAGTGGTGATTTCCCAGCCTGTTTGAATTTGCAAGTCTGGGGTCTCACTCAAACCATGCATGAAGCTCAGAGACTAGCGCAGTCACACATGGGTCAGCCAGATGAACCTCTACATCCCAAACTTCAAAGCTTTCTTCGAGCTGCACTCTCGGGTCAATTGCTTCGCAATGTTGCCCAACCCGCAACTTCGGGCCATGTTGGCAGACCTGCTGTTTCAATGATTGCGCTTAGACCAAGCTGCTGCTTTCGTTTGAATGACGAGCGTCCGTCCAAAACAGACCGTCGCAACATCTCTTCGTCTTTGCATGGCGCAGGTCTCTGGATGTTTACTATCCATGACCATCCATGAGCCGGCGGCCCAACGGAGTTTGAGGTTTTAACGGTCTTTGTCTGCTGCATTGTGAGACGAGAAAAGTGCCCGGCTGCCTTGCATGATGCAGTATGTCGGTTTGGGATGAAATGGAACAAACAGGCTAGCCAGAATGCATCATAGTTGCATCAGTAAGCATTTCGGGGTCGCCATGGTTTGGGGCTTGGAGTTCTGCGCCTTCAACCTTAACCCTATACACGCGAAGGCCTACACATTACCCTAAAAGGAAGCCTAGACATTCCGACGCTGCCGATCGAAGAGAACCCTCAACCAATAGAGTAGCTACACAGTCATGGTGCTTCTGCCAAGTGGTACTCACTGTCGAAGCTCCCGCAGTGGAACCACCCGAGAAGTCCTGCCAAAAGGACCTGATCACAAACGCCTAGGGTTTATAGGGTTTTTTTGGGCTCAGGGCCTCGAGGGATTAGGGTTATGTGTTGGCCGTATTTTTCGGCTTATTATATCGAAGCGTGGAAATTCCTCTTCAAGAACCCGGCCACAAGACACTTCGCAGAACTCATCGGCGGGTACTGCATCGACGGCAACGTTTAGTCTGATGCTTAAGGTTCAGGGTTTAGGGACCTATCAATATCTTCAACCCTGAACCCTAAATCCTGAACCCTGATTTGTTGGTTGGTGACTTAGAGAACAAAGTAGGACAAAGATGGCGGTCAGCAGACCAGATCGAGGCTTCGAGGTGATTGGAAACCCGCAACCCTCAACCTTACCTATATCTAGGACACTTTCTGGTGGGTAGTTACCGTTAGAGGAGCCTTATAAAAGCTGTATATACCTTATAGAAGTTTTATAGAAGCCGCCCTATATACCCTAAACTCCCCACCTGTAGTTTCCTTTGACTATAATATTCATCGTAGTTGCCTTGTTGGTCTAACCAGTTTCATGCTGAGCGATCCAAAAAGGCAACTCCCAAAAGCAACTACCATGTACACTATAGCCTAAAGGGCCCTAGGTACTGCTTCTGGGGGATACTTTCCCAAAGCATAATAGTAATTCCGATTATAGAAACCCTACATTCTATATACGATGTAGGTATGTTCTGTTTCAGGGTTTCAGGGTTTATAAAGTTTAAACCTTAAACCGGGCATTCCCCGAGCTCCAAGAGTTTAGAGGGCCTACTGCGAAGGCTTGGATATTTCGAGATGGGTTTTTGTCACCACTGGTCTAAAAGTCTAGTTCCTTCTTTGTTTGACCAGTTTTGTGGTTGGGGCTCCGATCCTAGCAACAAGAAAGGTAGCTACAGAACTGCAGATAAAACCCCGCACTATACCATATGAACCTGATAAGCGCCAGAACCCTGCAATTTGTTACAAACTACAAGCCGTCGAACCGTCGAACTACCAGCCCTCTAAACTCACTAAAGAGCAACTTAAACGTAACCGCAAACCCGATAAGCTCTTGTACCCCCCGCCCCCCCCCCCC